GCGTGAAGTTACGTGAACTCAAGAGAACTTCTGTTGTCGCGAGTTAAATCTCCGGACCTGTTGCTGGAGCCGCAGAGCCGCACCGCAGTCAAAAGGGCGGTGTGAGAGGGGGTGTGTGGGAGTTGCGGTCTCCGTCGGCTCGGTAACCGCACCGGAGCCAGTGTGAGCAAGGGGTTAATAACTGGTTGGACTTGCCTGATTTTGGGTCCAAGTGCAGCATCAAAGTTCCAGCTCGGCTCTTTATGAAGGTCCTCCCATTCTCGAAGCACTTCATAAAAAATATCTCTGAGAGGAGGAGAGGAAAAAAAAAACGTTAAGTTCAGAAGGTTCTGCAATCATGAAAATGTTTTCCTATTGCTTGTTGATTCCACAGAGTCTGAAGACTTTGAAATGGGAAAAGGTTGGAATATACCTCTGTTTCTTAAAGGTGTGGAAGGCCTTGTCGCTTCCAAAATTGGAGCGATTGTCAGTGGCCGGCTGAAAGGGGACTGAGTGGATAAAAGTGGACACCGAAGGAGAGAGCTGGAACACAAGGATAAAATACGAGAGGGTTTAAATCTTGAGCTTTAACTATATTCACCAACTTTAAAACCATTCCTCTCAACCATTTCATTATATTTTATCATCCTTCAGACTGAAATCATCCATCAGAAAGTCACAATCAGCTCAAAAGGGTCTGGAATCAGGTAGGAAGAAATCTTTGAAATATCATAAATGCAATTTAGAAATCGCATCAAGTAACAGTTCAGATGAAGAAGAAGACTTAAAGAAATGTTTGGGTTTTAGGTTATTTTGGATAACTCTAATGGAAGGGAATAAGGGTTAGTATAAATGAAACCTAGGACTGTAGTGGGTTTTACTAAGAAATTAATTATTTAGAGAAAGAAAGTCACTTATAAAAATTTTCACATTTAACTGCACTGAAAAACGATGAATAAATCTAATGTTTAGATAAGTGAACATGGAATTGGTTTAGCTAAATGTTCTTAAAATCTAAAGTCAAAGGATGTCTGAAGTTCAATTAAACAAAAATAAAACCCTAAAACTGCCAAACTGGTGACAAAACCCCATCTGTGTCCACATGCCAGCTAATCTACATCCCAGAAAGTTTCTCTGTTTATAACGAATTTCTTCCTTTTGCAGGGTTTATACATGAATGAGTAACTCTTAGTTAATGCTTTTTAATGCTGTTTTAATGATCCTTCGTCATCTTTACCGTGGACAGGCTGCAGCCATGTCCCGAGTTCCTCATTTTCCCGCCACTTTGCTTCCAATTTGCATTTTTCCCCATTCTGTAGCCTTTTCTCCGCCTCAAGCTTCTTTTCCGAAGCCATTTTAATGCCACAATGATCAAATTTAATGAATTTAAATGCCAATTAAGGCCTTAATCAAAAAAAAAAAAAATAACGGAATGACTTTTAATGACCCGCGGAAACCCTGTTTTAAATACTGACGCTGAACACAGACAGGGGAGAAACATCAACTCACATATAACTCACTCAATATAATTCTTTAACCTTTTGAGAAAGCGGATCATTTCTGAAGCCCAATTAAATAGAGACACAAAAATTAACAAAAAATTTTTTATAATACAATAGTTGAAGTATTTAAAAACACTAATAAGATATAATGATTAACAAGCGGAGCAGAGGAGGACAGAGTAGCAGCATTTATTTCCAGAAAATAAGCCATAGTGAAGCTAACTGAGGATTTTATAGTAACACAGCAAGACTTCTGTATATAGTAGTGGATGAACGAGTTAAATATAGAGATACTGAACTTTTTATTCCCTGCGTTGATATAGAACCGTGCAATCTACAAAGCTGTTGGTTTAGTTGTATGTGGTTAGATGGACCCAGCATGAAGCAATAACAAAAAGGTTCTAGTTTGCACCAAGTTAAGGCAAAAATCACACGTTTAGCACAACGCGACTCATATCTGTCCATTTATAGATCGAATCACCAAACCTAATTATTTTATCAGAATAACTGCTTACTGTGTAGAACAGGGCTGTTTGATTCTTTGTATCGTAATGAATTGATTTTTTTTTATTGCATCTAACCACTATTTGAAATAAAAGGCATGGAAAATACATTAATTAAACAGGAAGAGAAACAAAAGGAAACAAAACAAAGAACACTAGCGATTCGGAACGTATCTGACCTTAGCTGTGCTTCTGTCCTGAGCCTGAGTGAGGCGATCTTTAAGTTCTGGAGAGAAAGAAGCCACTCGTTCGTTCTCTGCCAGCAGACGCAAAGTGCACTTGTCCAAATGAGCGACCAACCTGTCAAAACAAAATGGAATCCAAGCTGGAGTATTTATTTAGGCATCTATTAGGATTGTCCTGATATTGAAATTATAAACTTAACATTCAACACCGTTTTCAATACTGTGGGGAAAGAACCTGACTAATAATTAAAAAGCATAAAAATAAGAAAAACTACTTTTTTTTTCCATTTCAACATGGAACACGCTTTTTAACACAATCACAGCAGCTTATTAAATAAATGTACAAGTAAATGCAAACTAAATCATACAAATATAACAAAATTATGCAATATTTTAAGGTTGTTTAAGGTATTATTCTTTTAAAGAGCAAATAATCCAGAAATTTAAAATTAACAATGGCATAAATATGCAAAAAGGACTTAAAAATTGAAATCAAGCTCAATTAGAATTGTGTCGGGATACAGCGTTTCATTATCGATAGTTTCACAGTATCTACATCTTTGCCAACACTGGTATCTTCTAGACTGTTTAGATCTATGAAGCTTAAAGGTTTGAGTAGATAACTAAAACAAAAATAGAACTTACTGAAATTGATTCTCCAAAACTTTTACAGCAAAATACACACAATTGTGCACTTGTCTTAGGTAGCATCTTTCCAAGACATCTGCAAAGAAAAACAGCAATTATTTTTAAAAATTCAAGATTTATTTAAGCTGCGAGTGGTCAAGGGTCGAGTGCTCACCGGAATTTCCTGAACACATGCTCAACTGTTCTTCGCCGTCATGTGTATGAGGAGACCTGGATGTTAACAGCTGCATCACAAAGAAAAGCTCCAGGAACAGGTTTGGCACAAGGTTTTCTTTGAAAACATAAAGAAAAAAAGAAAAACTATTAACAAGATCTTTCATAATTTCCTTTAACCAACAGCATGCTGCAAAGTCTTCACTCAAAGGTTTCTCCAGCAGCAGCGATTTGAATGTGTAGCTAGCTACCACCACCTTGTGGTTACTTACCAGAAATGCAGGTGCAGTAAAGCTCAGCCAAAATATCGAGCTCCGAGGAGAAGGTGACTTTGGAGGGTTCAGGACATGTCGTCTGAGAGTCTGGTGTAACTTTAGATTCGGTCCTAACTCCCGTTTTCGTAGGAGTACAGGGATCCAGAGAGCATGGAGGAAGAGACACGGCCTGTTGGGCAAGCTTTGTCCTATAGAACAGAAAAATCTAAATAAAGACAATGATAAATGCAGAACAAGACATCCTAAAAATGGTCTATTATTTAAATAAAATGCATTGCAAATGAATACTCCACATTAAAATCAAGTTATTTTGAAAAATGAATCTGCTAAAATGTCACTCTCCTGATACGACTTCAAAACAACTGCATATACAATAGCAGCAGGGGGGCTCAACAAAGTATAATACTTTTTGAGTTTGAATACATATGCATAAGGAACTACAATAAAATACTGAACTGAGGTAATAACTAGGGTTGCACGATATAATCGGCCCCCTATCGGTATCGGCCTGTAT